CATGCACACGCAGAAACATATGACTAGTTTTTCTTTTTCTTTACTATATTCTTAATTTGCTTTCTATTTCTTTTTTTTCTTTGCATCTTCTGCTCTTTATTCTTCTGTCTTTCTTAATCTAGTTTTTACTGTTGTAATTATAACCTTTAATAAAATTATTATGTAGCAAGCTAAGAAGATGCTTCCGTCAATAAAACATTTAGACGTAGATTATTGTATTGTATTGTAAATCTTGGCTTGTTTCACACATTGTACTAAGCATGATTTGTTTGGCTTTCATTTTACATGTTGCATGAATTTCATATAGTTATTTATAAATCAAGGTAAATGTATGTCGTTACATATTGTATAAACTAGCCTGCTGTGATTTATTTAATCTTTTTTTTAAACCATGGCATGGGGTAATGTGACTGAAGATGAGTTTTCACAAGTGGAGTAGTCCATTGGATTCAATTGAATTCTTGATGGTTTCAGTAGGTCTGCTCTCATTATGCTAGCTTAGATCCAAACCTTTAAATTTACACATGGAAAAATTAATGACCTACTGAAGTCATTTATTTGTTTGCAAAATAATCAAGGAAGATTACCTTCTTCAATAAGATTTCATTTGCAAAAGGCAATGGGATGCTATTTTTGTCTAGTCTAAATTCAGAATAATTTTGAAACTCACAAAAAGCAGTCAGTGAAGCCCAAATACATATAATCTTTTTTCAGTGCTGTTGAGATATTGTCATGTTACTTGAAGTGACATGCACTGATTATGGTGAGAAAGTCTGTGCTAAATTTCAGTAAGAAAATAATCTGAATCCTTATGCTTTCTTCTGAATGGATTCTCTCCGATGTTTAATAATTAACATTTCATTTTATCTCAGTTGACACACTTCACAGAGAATTGGAAGAAGCTCATAGTATTTGTAGCTGTGTTTCAAAAGCCCTAAACTGCATTATGCCACTGTATTTATATGTGTACTGATACACACAAATGTGTAATAAGTGAGTATTGTGTAGAAGTGGTACGTGAGTATTGTGCACGATTGCAAAACAAAATCAGAGTTGGAGAATAGCTGAATGGCTGTTCAAACACTTCTCATTCAAATTTGTCTGGATAGAACAATTGTAATCTTGTTCTAAATGATACCAGGATTTCAGCTCATGTTGAATCATATTGTTACTTCGGGATTATTCTATATCCACGTTTAAAACAAATGGTGACTTAGCAGGACATGTGCATAGGCTTGTTTGGTAAATCCTTACTTATTTATATGAACAAATATTTGGCCTAAATATGTTCAGAATGATTCAAGCTGGATTTTATAACCATCTTCTAGCATTTTGTAGTTGGGGAATGAGCACCAGTTTCAAGTAGCTCATGAGTGCTACAAAAATATTCCAGTTGACTTTTCCAGGTTAAGTGGCTATAACACATAATTCAATGCAAAACAAAAGAGTTGCTTTGTGAAACATGAAATCTGAGACAAGATTTCAAGATAGGATGTTGTCAAGTTATTTGTCACTCAGCCCAGTAATATATTTAGTTCGGTCAGTTGTAGTTATCCAAAATCTTCAGCTGGCATCTTTCCTCATCACTAGCCAGTTCATCCTTGTAGAAAGGAGAGACCAAGGGATAGAACTTCAGATCTTCCAGAAGACTTTATGCTTAACTGCCATTGATTTTAACAATGTATTGAAGGGACACTGCTTTTATTTATTTTTTATTACATTTATATGGCACCCATCTTACTACCCAGACCAATTCTGGGTGGCTTATGAAGTGGAATAGACAAGCATTCTGTAGAATTTGAAACAATTCTGGAACATGCTGAAGATAAAATTGGGAGCATTTCAAACTCTAGAATTCTTTTGAATAGTTGGAATCCTAGTCATACATTTCAGTTTCTAACGTGCTTAGATTTTGCCTTTGTATTCTTTCATGGATTTAGCATCCTGCGAATAAAAGAGCTATTTATTTAGCAAAATAAATAAGGTATCCAAAGGATTGGCGTTTCCTATATGAACCTGTCAGAAACTCCAGGTATGATCTGAGCTTTTTAGTCAACTGCAGGTATCATACCTAAATAAGGTAACTCTTACAGGTATTAGAGAACTATGTGCAGCCACAGACATTTTTTTTTTGCACAGACATTTTTCTCCAGTTGAAAGAGAGCATGTGTGTTAAAGCAAAGTTTATGATTGTATATGATTTTTTTTCCTACATTCAAACAGAAACATATATAGTCCTTGTGTAGTTTCCCACTCAGTAAGGGGAAGTTGGAGACAAATATGAATAAGGTAAATTAACTCTTAGGGGTAATGCTGTACGCATTTGGGCAAATACAGGTGTCAGGTTTTGCTTTTAGACTTTTCCAGACATTCTCATTATTATTTTTTAGGATTTGGTTAAGATTGATTTATTTCCTTTGTCAAGTTTTAAATTTTATTTAGGAATAGCTTTTATTGGTTCAGCTTGATTTTGTCATTATGCTATCTATCCCAATAAGCATATGCCTTTATTTGCAGCATTTACAACCTTAGTATATTTTATTCTTTAATTCTGTTCTCTGGTTATTCATTTATTTTTGTCTGCTTTGAAAACACAATACCCTTGAAAAATCAGGCAAAAAAAAATCTATCTGGCACCTAATCATAAACTGGATTTTAAGTGAAATCCTCCAGCATAGTGCCCTCTGAAAAATATAATTTCTTTTCCTGTTCATCTCCCAACTGGCACGGTTAACATGGTTAACCAAATTTAGCAAATCGGGGAGTCATTAAGTTAGGTAAAGATGCTCTCTGTGAAAGCATCTAGATATTTATTTATCCTCTTTTCTTATATTACCTGGATCTGATTAATCAGATTGCCTTTAAGATATTGCTTAGAGGTGTCATTAAAAATGTGCAAGACAAGTAGAATCACAGAAGATCTTTTCTACTACCTACAACTTGGCCGAGAAACATTGGAAAGGATAATTGAGTGTCGGAAATGGTGTGGTAATACAAGTTTAGTTTTATTCAAAGGTGAATCATCCTTGGCCTGTTGTAGAAGTCCTGCCACCTACTCTACTGATATTAAAATTGATATTTTAAGATCTTCTGATTTAGATACGGATCTAGAGTTTGTGGGATGGAAAATTCCATTTTGATCTGTTTGTTTACATTATTTTCATTGAGCAGGGGTGTCAAACTCACGTTGTCATGGTGGCGGCACGTGATGTATCAGGACTTTTTTCCCCTTTGCTAAACCGGGTGTGGCCATAGCCAGTGCGTGACACATCCGGACTGTGGGACAGGAGTTTGACAGCCCTGACATAGAGTTTCACTCACTGATGAAGGTAGCATGCTTGATATGAACTAAAACCTATATTCATCCAGATCTGCAATCATCAGCAGTTTAGTTTAAAGCTATACATGCTGTCAGTTCCCTTGACTTTTCATCTTGGGCAAAATTGTTGGGTCTTAGCTAGATGAATCAGTTGTACATTCATTTTTGTGGAACTGTGTCTTGGACCCTGCTATCTGACATGTGTGAGCAGGTTGTAAAGACACCTGAAGCTTCTTTCTATGATCCTCAAGGGGTTTTGGTTTTAATTTTCTCAGACAGCATCTTATTCTTGCAATATTGAACAATTAGTTCAAGTTTTAAAGGAGTAAGATGTCAGTTGTATAAATAAAAACCAAACCTATTAGTAGGCTGTTGATCCAACAGCATCCTTTTGGCATGTAGGTTTCATCCATGGTATTTCCAAGTGGATTAGGCAGAATTCCTGCCTGGAATCCGGGAGAGAGCCACTGCTGCTAACTGGCAAGAATTATGGGCTAGATTACCTAGAATCTGACTGTATAAGGTAGCTTTCTCTGGTCCTCAATAAGAAAACCTTCAGGTGAGGTTTATCAACATTTAGCACCTGAGTCACATCCTGGCAAAAACAGATGGATATGTATAATTTGTCTCTATCCATCACTTTTTACTGTAATTCCATTGAGAAAACAGAGACATATATTTTATTCCCTGTGATTATAGACAGATCTCAAGGTGAAAGAAGTTGCAGCAAGGTTGTGGAATTAAGAAGTGCCTTCTGTTTTTCCATTCCAAATTATCCTCCCTTCTGTTTTTGTGTAGGAAAAGAAAACTGTTGGTAGTTCCATGAAAAACACAGATTTCAAATTTTGCAGTTTTGCTCTGGATTTTTTTTTAAAAAACTCTTTAATTGAAAAGTGTATTGGGGTTCTTTCTAAACTACATGATCAAAGCACATGTACACTCCTAGCTGCAGAACTTATTACCTTTGTTTATTATAACAAATGTTAAGATAGTTTAAACAGCTAGGGGATTCTTAGCCACAAAACTATCTTTAGATGTTTTGGATAATTGATTTTTTTTTTTTGCCAATTAGCTTAAGCAAAGAATCTTCTCTTTTCTTTCTGTTTCAGTGTTGTCTGCAGACCAAATTAGCCCCATCTCTACTGATCATGGTCAACAGGAGATTAAACTATTGGGATTCTGATTTTGAGGATGAGGTCATCAACATCAATGTTGGGGGCCTGAGACGGAGACTCAGTTCGAGTGCCCTCTCCAAATTTCCTGACACTCGGCTTGGGCGCTTGCTTTCCTGCGACTCTGAAGAGTCCATCCTACAGCTGTGTGATGATTATGATGTGAGTGCCAGGGAGTTCTACTTTGATCGGAATCCTGGCTTCTTCCTATACCTGCTCCATTTTTACCAGACTGGCAAGTTACACATTATGGAGGAACTGTGTGTCTTCTCCTTTTGCCAAGAGATAGAATACTGGGGCATTAATGAATTCTTTCTGGATTCCTGCTGCAGCTATCGCTACCATGAACGGAAACTGGAGAGGCATCATCACAACTGGGATGAGGAAAGTGAAGTTAGCAGTGTGGAATCGTCCCCAGATGAGATCTTAGATATCAATCATGACCTGCTTCGCTATAGTACACTCCGCTGTGGCAATCTGCGCAAGCGCCTTTGGCTCACCATGGAAAATCCAGGATACTCCATCCCAAGCAAACTCTTCAGCTTTCTGTCTATCAGTGTTGTGCTGGTTTCCATAGCTACCATGTGTATTCACAGCATGCCAGAATACCAGCAGCTTGACGAGGAGGGCAAGTTGAAGGATGACTCTGTGTTGCAAAACCTGGAGTATTTCTGCATCTCCTGGTTCACGTTTGAAGTCACTGCCCGCTTGCTTTTGGCTCCAAACTTGAGGAAGTTTTTCAAACATCCCCTCAATCTGATTGACATTGTCTCAGTGTTGCCTTTCTATTTCACGCTCTGGGTAGATGTGACCACGAAGACAGATTCCGAACTGGGAAATTTGGGAAAGGTGGTGCAAGTGTTTCGTCTTATGAGGATATTCCGAGTGCTGAAGCTGGCAAGGCATTCAACAGGCCTGAGGTCTTTAGGAGCTACCTTGAAGGTAAATGAGTTTCAGCTCATTTATTTTTATTATTTCATATTTCTAAGAAAATAATAATCAAAAGAGTAGTCAAAAGCACTTTTGTCTTGTTTCAATCTTAAGCTTGTGTCTGATTTCAACCTGGTGAAATTACTCATGCTTTTGAACTTTTTAAAGTTCAATTACAATAATGAATTATTGTGTGATTATGTCCCATCAAATCATGTTGACTCTTAGTGATCACATAGATATTCTCCATGATGATCTAGCCCTCACCTGTCTTTGAGATCTTCCAATTCTGCAGTCATGGCCACTCTTGAGTCCACCCACCTTGCTGCTAATTGTCCTCCTCTTTCCCTTTTCCCTTTTCCCAGGATTAACTTGATTTTTGCTAATTTTCCAAAATATAATAATTTGAGCCTGGTCCTTTGTGCCTTCAGTGAGAACTCTGGGTTGATTTGTTTGTTTTCTTAGCTGTCCACAATAGTCCCAGGAGTCTTTTTCAACACCAAAGTTCAATAGCATCAATACTCTTCCTATCCTGCTTCTTCAAAATCCAATTCTTTCTCTTCCATAGAGTGCCACGGGGAATATCATTGCCTGCTTATTCTGATCTTTGTAGGTATAGACTCATCACAGCGCCTGGGTATCTTTTTCAGGGCCTTCATCGTTGCTCTGCTACGCTGTAGTATATTTTCTGATGACTGATCCCTTTACTGTTGATTGTTGCTCCTAAAAGGTAGAAGTTGTCTAACTCTTCATTATCAATTCAAAAATTGGTTGTAGTACCAGGTAATTTTCTTTCTCTATATTGTTAGCCATATTTTTCACTTTGCTCTTTGACTTTTATTGCTAGACTTTGTAGATCCTTTTGGACTTTGGGCTTTTACAGTGGTGTCATCAGCATCGCACAAGCTATTGAAGTTACTCATCTTCTTTCAATCCATCTTCCCTTATTCAACAGGTTGAATAAAATGAAGAAAGTATACAGCCCTATAACCACTCTTTTGTCACCTTGGAGCCAGTCTGTTTTGCGATGTGTTGTCTATACTGTGGCTTCCTGACTTCTGTGTAGATTTCTCAAGGGCATAATGAAATTTCCTGGGATTTCCATTTTTCTAAGCACGTAGTGATCTCTCTCTGGTATTCTTTGCCTTTCTTAATTATACAGCATGAATCAGCAATAATGTCTCATCTTCCTTGACTTTTTCTAACTCCAGCTCAAATGCTCGATTTCTCTTTTTCCGTGTAGGGCTCTAATCTACGTTGAATGATTCTGAGCATTATTTTGCTAGTACGTGAAATTATAGGTAAAAGTTCCCCTCGCATGTATGTGCTAGTTGTTCCTGACTCTAGGGGGTGGTGCTCATCTCCGTTTCAAAGCCAAAGAGCCAGCGCTGTCCGAAGACGTCTCCCTGGTCATGTGGCCAGCATGACTAAATGCCAAAGGAGCACAGAACATTGTTACCTTCCCGCCAAAGGTCCCAATTTTTCTACTTGCATTTTTTATATGCTTCCGAACTGCTAGGTTGGCAGAAGCTGGGACGAGTAACGGGAGCTCACTCCATTACACAGCCCTAGGGATTTGAACTGCCGAACTGCCGACCTTTCTGATGGACAAGCTCAGCATCTTAGCCACTGAACTGTATGATAATGTACATACTCTGTTAAGTCTCTTCTTTGGTATTGGTATTTAGATTGACCTCTTCCAATCAGTTGCTGCTATGTCATTCTCCGAATTTGCTGGCAGTTACTGGCAAATTAGCATGCAGAGTTAGAAAGCCCAATTGAGCTGGAAATCCAATATTCCTTGCCAAAGAGACAAAACTATCTTCTGTTTCCATAGTAAACCTTGTTCCTATCAAAAATTCCCACCTATTCTCAATATCTATATTTCCTTCAGTTTTATTTATATCTATCTAGCATCATTTCCACTGCAACACTTCCCAAAACAAAATGGAATGAGATAGGATAGGATAGGATAGGATAGGATAGG